GTAATAAGCAGGGCATGCAGGACCTTAGTCTAATATAAATAAATTTTAATATAGTCAAATACAGCATTCCAGAATAGAGCTTATCTTTTAGTCGTTTCTTATTTTGATAATATAAAGGTTCTGCTACGTTAAATTAAAAAAAACTTATTATCATAACTATTATTAACAATATTATGCTATTCAAGAGGATTTGGAGGACCAGTCGGCTTGAACATCGTATTGTATACGGGATAGATCTCATTAAGTAAAAAAGTTAAAAAGGTAAGAGGCAGATTTTGGGAACAAAGTGATTCAAATAAAAGAAGATAGGCCAGAAAATACCTGTAATAAATTATGTCAGATGATCAGTCTAAACTATTCATAGGTATACGGAGTTTAATGAACACAAAATACGAAAATCATGTGTTAAATTATGCAACCTTAGCAGTGTTGACACAAATTTTACAAACCAGCTAACCTTTGTGCAGTTCCGGGTGGGAAAAGGCGTATAGCTTTGATCAAGCACTGCGTCATGTCGAAAGTCCATTGAGAGTTTTCTGGCAGAGAAGCAGAAGAAAGTCCGTTGTTCGTTCGGCCTCCGATTTGAGCCTCTGTCACTGATCGAGTGCACTCACGAGCTCGCTTGAGCTGGAAGATGAAAGGAGGATAAATATACATGAAGATGTATAATGCTCCAAATGAATAAATAATGAAATGGGATCATTCAGATGGATTAAATTATAGGTTCCACAAGCAATTTTCGTAACATGTCTATCAATATTTGACAAATTTAAAAGATTATGTCAAAATCCCACGGCGCAAAACGATGATATGCAGCAAGCAATTTTTAACTGAAAATGTGAAAAAGCAATATGAGACTTTAGTCATATGCAAAATAAAAGTAATGCAACAAGCTGGTAAAAAGCAGGCAGGTTGCCATAAACATGGCACCTAAATGTTTTTTGTATTAATACAGTGCTATTAACAATAAAGTGTTCTAAAGTGTATTAGTAGTATTAAGCACTGTATAAATAGGTATTAGCATAAAGATACCATCAAATGGAAACTCTATCAAAGGTGCTAAAACTGATCGCTGTGGAGAAAAGCGAACTAACTGATTGACATATTAGCTAAAAGGATCTCTAAACGGAAGACAAAAAAGCATAAGTCGGATTAGATATATCGAGGCAAAATTTGAGTCTTCATCATTAACCAGGACAAATG